TTGAATTGATACATGCTTTAATATTCAATCGGATACCAAAACCTCTTGGTTTTGAAATCTATATTCTTCATTCTCTGTTTTGATCTATGGTTGATGAGTAAAAAAAGACAATGTCAAAAGTGTCATTTGAAGAGGCCATAGCAATCAAATTATAGTGTTGCGATGTCATGGTGACCCTGTATCAGTAGGAAGACGGGAGCTAGGAAGCACAAACCCTAAAGAACATATATAATGTAGTGCAATAAATTATATTTTTGTTTTCCAGGACTCTAAACCACCAGTTATCTCATTGCAAAAGTTGATTGTAAGAGAGGTAGCTAATGAGGAAAAGGCAATGTTCTTAATTAGCGCTTCCTTACAAGGACCAGAAATGTATGAAATCCACACCAGCTCGAAAGAAGAGAGGAATTCCTGGATGGCACACATCCGTAGAGCTGTAGAAAGGTAAATTATGAGTGAAAGCAGGAGAGCTTGATTTCTTGCTCGTCTGTCTTTTCTTTGCAGGACTCGTAAATTTATTGTAAAAATGCATTTGACTATCCCTAAACGTTCTTTGTACGACTGAAGCGTGCAATTCTGTATGTGTTCATCGGGAAGAAGCCACTCACATAAAGATGCAATAAAAAGCAGCCAAAGACTTTATTCTTTTTTTTTTTTTAAAAAAAAAAAAGGGCAAAAGGTTCAGGTTGAATCCTGAGATGGTTTTAAGTTATCTGATGTGCAAAGCAAATGTGTATTTGTCTCCCCTTTGTACAGCTGTCCTGATGAAGAAGGAGGAACATTTAATGAACCTGAAGCAGAGAGGAGGCTGGCTGAAGCAAGAGCTGCAAAGTTAAAAGATTTTCAAGGTAATGACTTAGTTATATATTCCACGAACTTCTTCTCAGTATCACTTGTGATTTATGACTGTCTTATTCTTTTATCACATGATGTGATCAAGTTTCTCCTTCATACGTCTTTCAAGACCCTGTAAGATTATATAGAAATAGTTAAGTTAAATAAGTCTAATAATCTTTGTATGGTCCATGAGTTTCCCACTTAACTGTTAATTACATCTCTGCCTTTGATGCTCTGACCATAAAATGAATAATAATCTTCCAAACTGAACATTATACTCACTCTGACAGTGCTTAGGAAGGCAGAACTGAGTTTGTTTCTTCCTTTAGAGCGTTTGAACATGAAAGATGACCTGATTCTGCAAAGTCTAACTGAGAAGCAACAGATTTATCTAGAAATGTCTGAAATGAATGGGTTTGAAGACCATTCCCAAGGATCCCGATCTAGGCTACTTCTTCGGGGGGATATCTCAGAAAATCTGCAAGGAGAGGCAATTTTGAAGTCCGCAGTGACAGAAGGTAAATGCAGTGTGGGAATGTGTATGTGTTCACTCAGATGCAGGCGTGGGGATAAGCACATAGGATCTAACTACAGATCCTGAAAATCATCCTGTAATAACATAATACTTTTACGTAACACTGTTCAGACTTCCTTATTCTCAGAACCGATCTGTTAGACAGGTACAGTACACCTGTGGTTTTAGGTAGACGACCTTCTCACAGCTTGGATTTTATTTTTAAGGATCAACCGGTGGAGTCGTAGGATGACTCTATTCAGATGAGTAACTGAGTGCTCTAATAATACACCAATCCTGAAATATAATATTATATGATGGTTATATATTAAGGTAGTATATTTAAAAAGCAAATAAGCACAAACATAAGCTTTATTTTGGGAAAAAAAAAAACCAAAACTCAAGGCTTGATAATCTAACTTGCAAGCATGGAAGAGGTCATCTTCATATGCACGATACGAAGAGCTTGTCATAAAGAGCTAGTCACGAAGGAAGATTCGTCTGTGCTGCAGGAAATCTCTCAAACTGCCCAATCTTTTAATATATTTGACAGTTGAAACTTTTTTTAACTTGGTAGCACGATGCACTTGTCTCACTGCATAGACACGGCTATTTACATGACGTGTTTTCCTCTTTCCTAGCTGAAAATCTCCAGAACCTTATCTTCACTCACTTAGGCTATGGATCCTGTCAGCCTGAAGATGGCTCTGGTTCAGGACTCCCCAGGAGAGCAGAGACCTTTGGAGGATATGACAGTAGTCCCTCGATTTCAAGTAAAAGTAAGAAAGGGACCATTCAGCATTCTTCTGAGCTTCTTAGCTCTTTGCTGTGTTTCTCTGTGCAGAGAATGTGATAAGAACAAAGAGCTAAGTGAGGCTCTGATACAAGGAACCTTCACCAGGCTTTAAGAGGAAGATAAGAGCAAATTTGTTGTATTACCACGTTTTTTCTTTTGCTTCTTATACCAACACTAGAGAGCAGAGTAGAGCTCTCAGTTGGTGTTACACCAAGAGCATTACCTTAACCCATACTTTCCAATTACCACAGTTCCATGCAGAATTTTAATTTTCTTGAAAAAAAAAAATAAGCTTGACCTGAAAACCTAGGAAATTTGAATTCGGCTGCCTGCTCTTATTATTGAATCATGAAAATTTTTTTCCACTTCGTCTTGTCTCTGCACAGTTGCTAAAGGGTTGCTGAGTCCTTAGATAATATTAATTGTCCTTTGGCACAGGTGCTTTATCAGTTAATTAATGAAATAAATGGAAATACTAGATACTATTTATCTCCATTTTTGCCTCATGCATTTATTGAAAAACAAAATGGTGTTTATTTCACTGTTTGTGAATTTCTAGAATTGTTTCTGTTGTCTCTGAAAGGCTATAGGTACTTCATACAGTATGGTTTCCATCTCTCCCTACCTCCTTCCACGCTTACAGTGGTGCTGCTTTGACTAGAATTTTTCTACTAACGAGCATTCCATGTTACGAGCTTGCAATTCTGGTAGCCACAGACAGTCACTTTCATGCATACGTTGTGGTTGCTTCACTTAAAATAGTACAATGTAATTTGAACTTACTCTCCCTGTTTATCTTAACCCACTCTCCTCAAGTTTTTATGGTTTTTTGAGCAGTGCGACTCATCCCTGTTGTCTGCTCTTCCGCTTTGAATCCGCACAGATAAACCATGCAGTTGCATATTGGTTCTAACTTCAAAGTCGCAATATTTTTCTGCCTGCCCTGTTATGCAGTGAGTTTTCACAGGCCCTGTGCTGGTGGGAGCTACTCACACTCCACTCTTCTTTCAGGTGGTAGTTTTAGGAAGAACAGTGGTGTTGACCAGAGGCAGTGGGAGTGGAGAGGCCCTTCAGTAAGTTCAGATGTGCAAGTCCATGACCTCCCTTGTGATGCAGAAGAAGGATCTCAAACCGTATGTTTGGCTTATCTGTCATTTAAATGCATTTCCTCATGCTCCTCTTCGTAATAGTGGTGCAGAACAAACCTCACACAGTTAAAAGTTGTAATAGTTGGTAGGGCTAGACTGTAACAGAGTTCTGCCTGTCAAATTACTAAACTCTATTTAGGATGTTTTCTGGGGCGAGTCGATAGCTTAGTACTTGCGATGCATGATAATTTGGTTTTATATTTGTTCATTTGATGCTGTACCGTTAAGGCTGGCTTTAATCACCATGCGTCTGTTTCAGCCTGGCCTCTGATTTAAGTATTTTTGGTATGTGTCCTTCAGTGTATGGGAGCAATCTCTGCTCCAGCAGTAAACACTGTTCTCTAACGAGATGAACCCTTCCAACTTGTTCTGGCAGCGCTACCAATGCCCAATAAGTGTCTCTAGTGGAGATGTTGGTTTTGTCTTTTTTACAGAGTGATGTAACGAGGCTGGATGACAGCAGTGGTTTTGAGTCCACCGTAGAGTCTCAGGTATGTTACTTCTGCTGTTAGGAAATCTAATGGCAAATAGCCATATTATAATAATAGCATGTAAAAACAAAACAAGCAAACAAAAAAACCCACCAAAAACCTCAGTATTTTCAATGTCTGTTGAACCACAAGCACATTAACAGCCTATACTTTGACTCTAACGCATTATGAATGCAGAGAGACAGTCCTGTTAGAAAACAAAGATGGGTTCTGGGTATGTAGACACGCGTTTCGAAGAGCTGGCTAACTACTTTTCCTGCATCTTTGGAGGGATTGCGTGTTCTCAGCTCACTGACAAAACTTGCCTCTGAATCTCCTGTGAGTGCTATACCTGTGTAGTGCTTCAGTGCTGGAGCGTGGGGGAATGTGATCGTTAAATAGCTCGTGAAGAAAACTGATGATGAATATTGCTCACTGGAATCCCAGTGAGATTTGCTGGGCACTAGTTGACATCTGTGCAAGGGCTAATACACTGAAATTCATTGTGCCTGCATATTGCTCTACTGGCTGTTACTGTGTTAGAGTACTCTTGTAGCCATGCTTCCACTGTGTGTTTTTTTGTACAGATACAGTTGAATGTGTTCACTCTTTAAGAAAAAAAAAAAAAAAAAAAAGTAACGAATCAAAACAGAGGTCTGTTCAAGTGTCTGATGTCTTTTTTCTTCCCTCTGCCTCCCCTCCTCTCCAGCTTGTCCAAAGGATCCAAACGCTGTTACAGTTGCTCTTCAGTCTTCAGGTAAACCACTGTTCACTATCCAAGAGGTTTATTAGGCATTAAATGTAATAAAATTTATGCAGGTGTGGAGAGGAGCTACCTTGAAAATCTCCCCTAAAGCTAGAGTGAAGTGCAGAATTTGAGACCAGAGACTCAAGGAAACAAACACTGTCTGGTGTTTTGAAGGAAGTGTTAGATCTGTTGTCTTAAGTAATTGTTTCCTTTTTCCTGCTCACTTAAATGCAATTATTTGCTACTTTGAGCTCCATCTGCTCTCCATGCTCATTTCCTCTTAAAATTATTGTTGATACCCAGGTGTGTGTATGCACTAGTTGTTTTTATTGTAACCTTGTAATCAGCAATATTTTGACTGGATTCAGAGCAATAATTCTAGGTGCAAGAAATGTTAATGTTGACATACGTAAGCATAACTTTTTTGCTTAGCCATCCTTAGTATTGTGTCAGTCACAATGGGCTGTACAAGCTGGAAGTTAGATCTGTTCTTGAAGACAAAAGTCTCAGTGATCTAATCTGGTAGATGCTGTTGTCTTTTCTTTAGCTGGGCGTGTTTTTTGAACCCATGTGCCTTATGCTGAACTTCTTATTTTCCCTCCAGGCAGTGATATCTCAGCAGGACAGCTACATTGAGATGCAACGAGCCACCATGGTAGACCGGGAGAAGCAATATCGGCTGCAGTCTACACGAGGCAATCTGCTGCTAGAGCAGGAGAAACAGCGGAACTTTGAAAAACAGAGAGAAGAACTGATGAATGTACAGAAACTTCAGAGCCAGCTGAAGCAGGAGCAGCAACGCCTGGAACGGGAAAGGAGTCGGCAGCAGAGGGAATTTGAAAGCACAGAAGCTCGGCTGCAGGAGCGTGTAGAGGAGACTCGGCAACTGAGAGAGAAGTTGAATCAGGAGCGGGAAGAACTCGAGAGGCAGCGAGAGGCCTATCAGCATGACCTCGAGAGACTGCGGGAGGCTCAGAGAGCAGTCGAGAAAGAGAAAGAGCGTCTAGATCAGCTAAGGAAGCTGAAGAAACAGAACACAGTGTCAGGCACGTTCTCCCCAGAAATGGGACAGGTGAGGAATTGGTTTTCTTGGAGTTTTATTTCTGTTAACCTGCTTGCCTCTGAATGAAGGTCGCCCTTTTTGTAGCACTAACCCATGATCACTTTTTACTGGGCTCCTTAAACCGTCATCTGAAATAGCTAGGGATGGCTACTGTCGGAGAGATCAGAGCTTGGCAGTTCCCCAGTGTCTGTGATATTCCACCCAGACATTTGGTAATGAGAATATTTTTTAAAAAAGATAGAAACAGAGAACAAGTTATTTTTGAACATGGATGGCTGAGGATTTTTTAAATACAGGCAATGCCCTATTGCAGGCAGGTGGTTGCAGAAGGTGTGCTACACTGGTAGCATTTTGTGTAGCTGATTTCTAAAAACATTTCTTGTGTTTCAAAATGTGAAGTTTGGGGTCTGATTAAATTTTTACTGTCTTAAAGTCTTGCTTTCTGTCCATCCTATCATCACCTAATGCAGTATGCTTTTGCATTCCTTTGCTAGGTGCAATATTAAGCAGTCTGGAGCTGCTGAGGTTCTTTTTGGTGTTCAAGGGCTTATATTCTTATGCTTCCTTTTGTTTGTCAGCGTGCTTTGGGCTTCATCTAACCTCTTGCATTTTTCACTAGAAAGTGCCTAATGTTCTCAGGGTTGAGGATGGTCTCCCCTTGTTGTATCCGAGGGGGCAAAAATACCCATTTGACTTAGAATGCCTTTTTCCTCACGTAGAACCAGATGCTAAGTCATTCTGTTAGCTTCAATGGAGAAGGCGTGGAACCAACTCTACCCGTCTCAAAAACCTCGGTGAGAGTGAGCGTCTCCGGGATGGATTACCTGGAACGGCCAGACTTGGTTCGTAGGGACAGTACCACCCTGGAGAATCGTCCAGTTCTTGCATTGAAGAATGAAGTGCCAATACATCTCCTGAGTGCAACTAATCAGATACAGAAACCAGCTGCAGTCCAGCAGCAGATTCCTACTAAGCTGGCCACTTTTACAAAAGGAAGCAAAGAGAAAGGTGGGAAGAACAAAGCATCTCACAGGACAGACAGTTCAGGTAAGTGTATTTAAATGCATTTCTGATCTCTGCCAGCATCACAGGGAGACAGAACACTGGCTGCCTGTGTGGAACTCAGAAATTAATACGCTACAAATTGTTAGTGTGCTTACTGCAGTCCGTAGGCTCGTAAAATCCTCAAGTCAGGAGTTACATGTGTGTACTATTTAAAATGGAAATATAGCCCAAAGGGATAATGTCTAAAGTGGAGTTCTGTAATCCAACAGGACAGAATGATGGTGAGAGTTTCTAAACCTGGATGTAAAATTTTCTTGCCTAACTGTAGTGTTAAAGGAAAATAGCAAATGTTTTGCTTGTTCTGCACGAGTGAAATGTTTTGAGGCCGGCTTAACCTTTTCTCACTGTCTATCCAGAGTTGTAATGACATTGAATACAATGCCTTTCTTAGCACCAGTCAGTCATTAAATACAGATTTCCAAGCCAGAATTGAGATGCTCTGTGTGTTGTAGAGTTGAAAGGGGCTAATTTTGTCAGAAATAGAAGCAAGTAAAAATACAGTCACCCTGTCACAGTGTAATTTCTGCTGCTAACTGCTAGGTACTAAAGTAGTGATCTTTGCCAATGACAGACACAGCAAAAACCACTTTTTCTCTACTGCTTAAAATGGCCTTACTGCCAGCTTAGGAGAATGGCTATAATTTTAAGTTACAAAATTATCTTTTTAGCTTTGTATAGGATTCAGCCTTGGCAAGTTTACCCATCACTTGGGCCTACGCTACTATAGCGGACTCGGGGCCAAACCTGGCTGGGGAGGGGAGGGGAGGGGGAAAGTCTTTTGCACATTGTAGAAACATCTAACTCTGTCGTGCCTAAAGTTTAGTACAATTGCAAACTTGCTTATGTTTTTGCACATAAATGAAGCCTAATATCCTCTTACCCTGAATACCAAATGCTGGTAAATGGGAAAATAAAACTCTAGTACCACATCTCCCCGAGTTTATTTTTAATAGCTCTTACATAATGATCTCTGCAGTGGAAATGTACTTAATGGTGTTTTTCTGGAATTTATATGAAAGGCATGAAACACAAATATATTGGTCTCGGTTGTCTCATGAGCATTAGTGGGATGCATGCTTGTTATGCCCATGTGTAGATCTTAGAATAAAATGGAAAAAGACTTACTGTACCAGAGGCAAAATACTGTGTATTGAATTTGGGTTTTGTGATGTGTAAGAAATGTGCACAGAGAAGCATTCTTTGGATCCAGAGTAACCATTTCATGAATTGCTTTTATTGTTGAAATTAAGAAGCTGACAGGCCATAACACCAGAGTCAATGTACTCTGCCGCTGAGCAGCTGGGAGACAGATGGAGAGCAGAGACAGAAGTTCATCACAGTTTTGCACGTTAAACGTAGCACAAATAGCCATCGTTCTCTGAACGCTAAGGACAAAGATTTTTTTTCTCTACTGTTCTTTATAATACTAGGTTTTAAATCTGTGGTTGTCAGGGGCTGCTAGTAACTGAATTAGAAGTCCTCAAGGAAGAGGAGAGAGAAAGTATTCAGACTAAACAGCTGAAGAGAAAATTTAAGTAACTTGCAACAGAAGCACTAGCTCTTTGTGGTATATAGAAGTTTCCTCGGATATGCAGAGGTGTCAGTACAGTGGGCCCCAGCATGAAATAGTGAAATTTGTGAAGGACTGCTAGCCTCAAATATTAATTTGTAAAATATTTTCTATAGCATCTGTTGATCAGAAGCAGCTGCTTCCCCCCAGGCTTGTCGGACGAGAGGAGGGTGTCCTGAGAGGCAGACGATCAGCAAGTCCAGTCCTCCCAAGCGGCCAGACCGCTGCATTCCAGCCAGGTATGTCTTGACCAACTTGCACGTCGATGGAAACGCATCACGCTCTGTCTGCAGTGTCATGAATCTGTCATCTTCCATTTTTTTCTATAGAATTGTACGGCCCTACAGATACTCAGCCGGAAGCACTTTCATCTGCCTCAGCGAACCTATTCAAGCCCAATAATGTTCACGTTCAGACCCTGGTGACCTCTCAGCCGAGTCTGTTAAATGTGCAAGATGATACCAGCAAAGAAGATGTGATTTTCTTCTAATTGTTTCCTTGTAAAGATTAATCATCTGACATACTGTTTCAAGAACTCAGGCCCCCGTGTTCAACATGACAGAGACCTGACGTGGATGTCTTTTCATCCCTGCCCTGTTGCTACTAGCAAGGACCAGACCAGGATTACTGTTCTACTTTGTTGGCTTCTCTGCCAGCAGCTCAGAATGAGGGCACAGTAGTAACAATTTGCTTTTAAATTCTCCGAACGTGGAAATGTATTGACACATGGTATGGGTATATAAATTCAGAGCATACCAAAATGCTGCCATTTATTGTAATTTGCTCTTTTGGGAGAATGTACACTCTTTGTGGGCACCATCTTGGAAATTGTTATAGTTGATGTTGAACCGCGCAGATTTTTATGTAAAGTGTTTTAGTAGGCCCCAAAATTGCTGTGAATTTTTAAATCTGTTTTCACAGGTACATGGTCGGTAATGGATTATGCTCACAGTGTGTTGGTAACTAGTGACTAGCAAGCCAGTCTGCTTACAGCCAGGCGTGACAGACGTTGCGATACCCGCTCAGAGGGGCCAGACTGGTGTCTCTGTTCCTTTAGTGAATTCAGTGGAGCACGTGCTCAGTGGCCAGGTACAGTGGAAGAAAGAAGGTAAGCTTCTTAACAGAGTCTTCAGGGGTCAGGAGCTCCACCTGTGTATGTGGGTGAGAAGGGTTGGACATGTGAAAATATACAACGGTAATGAAGAGTTGGACTAAATGCACATTTCATTGGCCATCAGCTTGTGCTGGGATACCTGTCTCCTCGGAGGCCTTGGGCAGCTCGCCACGTTAGTGAGAGCGGTACAGGTTCCCAAGCAACACTTATGAGTTGGTTCAGAATGAACTTAGACTTGGATTTTGTTCTTTGCTGAAGACGTGTATAAGAAGCCTTTGAATGCAGTAATTTATTGTCTTGTTTAATCCTAAGTTTTCTGCATCTTTTGTTTGTCTGTTAACTTGTTGGGACTTTACTCCAAGCACCAGAAGATATCAAAGCTGCTGTTACTGCAGAGACTTCTCTGCAGCATTGTATTGGGAATGAAGGGAATAAGAACTGTTTGGTTTTTAAATTAAAAAAAAAAATACTCTTAGCTAAACCTGTGTTGGTTTAGCTTCTTACAGCTAAACCAGCTTTGATACCTCTTGTTAAATGGGTCAGTTCTTAATCATGGAATGGTGATGACATTGAGTGTTCTGCTCAAAAGGCATTATTTCCCTTTGTAGTAATTTGCACAGTCATTTTGTTGTATTCCGTTACTTTACTCTATCTCCATTCTTTATTACCACATCACCCAAGGATGTGTATTCCAGTATACGTTTAATGTGACCAGTCAGATATATTGTACACAGAAGAGATTGTTTGGATGGTATTATTACAGAATTAAAGAAATCAGTATCTTGGAGCTTTTAAAAACTTGGGTTAATACCTTTTAGAACATGATAATGGGGTTTTTCCTATTTTTAACCATGGGTTAAAGTGATTTTCAGCACTGGTGGATGGAATGCCTGGCCAGGTCTCCATCCAGTCACATAGTGTTGGCATTGAATGGCAGTTTGTTGATCTCTTCGTTGTTGATGCCGTCTCAGTGATTAGGCCCTATGTGACAATAGTAATGTTCTTTAAGGCCATAACTTCACTTTGCTTGAAAGTTTTAAAATTATTTCAGTAGTTACAGTGCAAGAAACATTTATAAATTTTCAGCAGAAAATAGAGAGTTTATTGTCAAATGGTGATAATTTGGATTATTGTCTCCAGACAAGAAATTGAAAAATCCAAATTTACTGGTCAGTGTGAGAGGAAAGAGACAAGCTACAAAATGCTTAGTTGGTTTTATCAAACAAGTGCTCGTTGCGGTAATGCCCCTTGGATTTTAGGGGGGCCGTCTTCAAGGGATATTGGTGTAAACCTGAAGCAATGGCGCTGAGTTGAATGAGAGGAAACTCCAAACCATCTGGCTTCGTACCAGACTGGTGATACTCCCCCACTCCCCAACAAATTATTACTGTGAAATCGGACACACTTCACTGTAATACCAAAGGACTGCTTGGTAAATCGTAGGCACAGCAGAATTTACACAGATTATCAGTGGCTAGATTTGTAGTATGGGGAACATAATTTTTGCATTGTTGTGATTGGATGTGGGTTATGGTTAGAACATAGTTCTACCCTACGTTCATTTTTTGCACTCCTAAAAGCTAAGCTGGAATGGAGGGGAATTTTTCTTAAAATTAATGTAACTTCTGATCAAGCCAGCATGTGAGATCCGGCAGCTCTATAGGAGTGATTTTTCAATCACCTGATGCGGAGTCTCCGGTCGTCTCTGACACCTGTGTCATTTCTCCTGTAAACATACAGGGAAGCAGCAAGAATGCACAGTATGTTCTCTCCATGCTGCGGTTTGGGCCACTCCCAGTGAAAACTCTATGCCTCCATTGCCTTAAATTACCAGGTTTTTAGGAGTTTTAGCCTAAAGTGAAGTTGCATCAGTGGAATAAACCACCTCAACCAACGAGGGATGTCCCTGGGTATTTGAATACAATTTTTGGAAACGTTTTAGTTTAATTTTGTGCCTGTCCTAAAGTATGGGAGAGAATGTTCTGTGGACTGAAGGGCTTTTTTTGGCTACTTTCTTCTTCTTCTGTGCAATGAATGAACTCGGATATAGAACAGCGACATCTGGAAAATAAAGTCTGCAGTGAGGTCTCATTTCTTTTAATGTTTGAACTTAAACGTAACTGTTTAAATACTCGTTGTCAGCAGTGCTTCAAATAAGTCGTGTCTGTTAGCGGGTGGACGCAGGACTGTTACATGCCAGGCTGTTGGTTGGACACCCCAAAAGCCCCTTGGAATATGGGTCTTCAATCTGTAACTGAGAAATTACCTTAAAAGACATTATCTGTCCTCAATACTCATGTCTAGCTGCAGCTAGCTCTATGAAAACTTTTCACCTTGAATAGAGACTGCATCTTCTTTCACTTGGGTGAAAATCAGTTCAGTGCCATACTAGGTATTCGCGTGGCTTCCAGCTCAGTACGACACCCGGCGTGGAGAAGGGTTTGGAATTAGCAAATGCCGTGATGCCTCGCTGCTTGAGGGGTTTTCCATACCACAGGATGGTAACGTTATTTGTAGAAGGCCGAGGGAAGCAAGTGAAAGATTTCCTTTAACTGAATAATGGGTCGTTTCTTCACTTCTGCAAACCTGAATGTGTGAAACTGTTATCACTCCAGTTGAGTGCACTAGTTTTGGACTCTCAACTCAAATCTCGTTCCTAGAAAAGTAACTCTTCTAGGCCAGTCAGATTGCAAAATACTGCTGTGTCCTGGGCTAAGTAACCTGCTATTGATTCTGAGTCATATCCTTTCCATTTGACTTCTTGATTACCTCAGATGAAAGTTTCCTTTTAAGTGGTATCTGAGGATTAGACAGTTCAAAATTCTTTGCCTCCCAGGTGCCTTTTGGCTTCTTTCTGAGCTAGGGTGTGGAGGAAATTACAGCACGAGCTTTGAACTGCCGCCTTCTTTGCTTTGTGTCACAGCCTTAAAGTTATCGTCATGTTTGTCCTTTTAATATTGTGATGTTGCGATGTGGAGGCTGTTTCTATGGTTCTGATTTTCAGTTTTAACTCTGGTGTAAAGGCTGTTTCCTCTTTCTCTTCCCATTTGGGCTACGGTCACTTTGTATTTCAGACTGAAGAACCCTCCACGTCCACTAGTACCCAGCACATCTGCCCTGTGCCTATTGTAAATGCTTTCCTCGTTTTTAACTGTACTATCTGTGGATTGTAGTTGTGGCATGTCCCACAAATTGAGATCGCTAATCATTTCCCGATGCGAGGCAGAAGAGTCAGTGTTTCTAGAGATGCTTGCTCATCAAGGTCGTGGCCATC